TTCATGAGATTCCTTCGCAATAGCTCATGAAACTGTGGGAATAAGTTGTCCTACTTTCTAAAGCCGCACTGCTTGAAATATAAATAGAAGTTTTGAAAAAAATTAATAAAGTTGAATCTTACAATGCCAAAAAGAAAATGCTAAAATTTGACTGGAAGAGTCTGAGTTATGAATTTTGGTTTCCTTTGGATAGCTAGGTTTATCAAGAGATATTATTTTTGGCAACGTTATTAGAACTGCTATTTATTTGCACAAGAAATATTTGCAGAAATGCCGAATTCCTTGTTGAGAGCATGAAAACATAATTTGCTTCTGTATTTTTCTGGAACACATGTTTTAAAATTGAATCAAAATTTAAAAAAAGGCGTATACAATTCAACCTAAGGGGGTTTTGACCCAAGAATTTCAGCGTTATGTAGGTTTCAATGATATTTGACTTGGGTGGAATCGGCCAGTCATAAAGGAAGGCTTTTTTCAATTAAGGAGGATCAACTTGGAAATGTCCAACTGTGTCTCCTTCAAATGAGTAACAAATATCCATAGAGCATCCTTTTTTTTGTATAGATTCAGGGCCAGTAAATTTGATCACAAAGGCCTAGAAACGCTTTCCATCGGGAAAAAAGTAATAAATGGTGCCATGAGGCACGATGCATGGAGTGGGGCATGGAGTCGAGCATGTGAACACAACAAAGCCCAGCATGTGAAGCCGGAGTTGGTGCGGGTGGTGGACTCCGTGATGAGCTCTCGAGCCCCAATGGAGGAGTAATTGCGACAGATGAAGATGCGCTTTGAGGTTTCGACGGTCGCCTCATCCCTGGAGACTCGAAGAAAAGAAGCCTTGAGTGATCACTGAGCAGCAGCGGCTCATCAGCAGGGTCAGAGCAGAGAGCGTCGATCAGGGCGCAGTGCTCCCTGCTGCTGCCGAGGCCGGCGACATCAAAAGAGATTTCAGATTTCAGTCCTCTGCCCGCAGAGCATCTCGAAGAAATCAAACAGCGGTTCCCTTTATGCTACCTCTCCTAGATTTTTATCGGCCTGCTTTCCTGTTCCTGTCCTCCCCTCCGTCCACTCAGCGAACAGGAAAGCAGCGAAAGATCAGAATGCCTTCAAATTTTCCTTCGCCGACGGCTACGAAAATAATCCCTGGGCTATGCGAAAAATCGTTTTCTTCAACCGAGATCAACTCTCCGCCTAGCTGTTCCGCTTTCTGTCGGTCTTGGTACGAATGCCATGCAACGGGAAAAATGACATGGAACCGCAATGAACGCAGAAATAAAATACAAAATCCTTGATTCCTCAAAGCCGGGCACTGGTTGTTGACTTTTAAAATTCGACTGGCATCAAGAAGTCGAATTTTTGGACCCAGTGGCCAAACTTGGTCCGTGATGTGATCCTGGGACAAAAAGAAGTGACATTTTCTCCAATAACGAGAACGCTGTACACTGGCGAGGCGAAACAAAAACAAGTCATGTTTCCTCCATTCCCATCAGTCAGCAATTATGGAGCCACTCAGGGTTCCTCGCGCGTTCTCGTGATTCGCATCCTGCTCACTTCCGTCAAGAGTTCCCCTGAATGACTGGCGAAGTCTGCGTTTTCTTTCCCACCGAAAGTCACAAGTGATTCCTCCCAGTGGCGACTCGAGAAAAGCAAACGAAAACTTCCTATTTCTCAACAACGACGAACATCATCACGTGAACGATGACGACATGTCCAGTGCGGTGTCGGGGAATTTCAGCATCATGGAAACCTGTGCCGCTCGAACTGTAGCCAGGAAAGCCGAGCAACATGCAAAAGAAGCGCTCTGGGATTCAGGAACATTCTTCGTGGCTCCCTTGTTTACGATTGCAGGTGACATTAGGATAATATCTGCGACCTGAACCCAACTACGATTGAACCACATCGACTGGAGCCAGGAAAGCAGTGCCAAGAGCACCAACGTCACGAGGAAGAACCGCGCCCGGGGATTTGGCACCATTATCGAAGTGGTGCTTCCCCATGACGTTCGTTCTCCTTGGCGTTGTATTCGTGTCTGTGGTTCGAGGGGCGTTGGTTTTCATGGCGTAAACTGCATGGTGTCATGGTCAAGCATCAAGAGAAGAATAACTCACGTGAACTTCTGCCGACAGGATAACATAGGAATCGCTCGAGTCGACAGCAAAAGTAATTGATTCGGCCACAGAGTAGAGGAAAGCAATGTTTTATTTAGTCTTTCGTTCCCTTCCACGAGGTTCGCGAACAGTCGGCTGCTTTCTTTCACTGGAAGAGAGCGCGTCGAGGAGTCGCGATAGAAATTTGACTTCATGATTCAGGTCAACACACTCTTCTACAAATTTATTCCCCTGGAACATCGATACTCCCGTAAGGCACGTTCTGCGAAAAAAAATAACAAGACAGGAAACACACGACTTCACTTCAACTATTCATGAGTTTCTGCAGCGCGAGTCTAAAGAATGCTTCTTCTAGCCACACTTTGACGCAGTGCTTCAAGCGCCTCCGGATCCACCACATCAATTCGTGAAGGCGGAGACAGCGAGACTAAGTCCCCGCTTCGCGGCTGAAAGAAGTTCGAGTAAATGCCCTCTGTCATTCAGCTCTCCAACAAGTCTTGTGATGAATTTTTTTCTCTTTCCGCAGGAAATCCTTTCCAGACGGGTTCTCGCGAACCCGCGTAGCGAACCACACTTGAAAAAAAAATTTCAGCCGCGAGAATGCGAGAAACTAGAACAACAAAATTTTCGCGGACTAAAAAAACAAAAAAGGGGGAAAACGTTGTTCTACGTTTCATGGATCGAGTCTTGTTAGGTTTGAAGGAAATTCGCATTTCTCGAGATTCTGGAGCTCGAGCAAGTCTGCAGGCTAATCGAGTCCGAGGTGAAAAGATCAAGAGGCAGACCATTGTTCTACTGAAATTCAGTCTTGTGGGACTTTCTCTCAACCCCGCGCATCAAGCATCGCGTTTCCTCTTGATCGATGTTGATTCCGCGTTCAAGTCAAAGCTCATCAAGCCAAATTCAATTGACACGGAGTTGCTCGAAAATAAAAAGGGGGAAAGATCGATGACGACTCTCAAGAGATTCCAGAACATACTCGAACTTCCCAAAGTTCGGGTCGCGGGCGGGAATTTTCTTCACCAAAAAAAGGGGGGATCTTCTTAACATGTCAAACTTGCAAATTCAAGGTGAGAAACGTCACAGGACTTGCTGAATCGAGGATCCGATCCACTTCAGACACAATGTCTATAGAAGAATACAAATATCTAGCAATGCGTGATAAAGTTATTTCTCTTGCGAACAAAGTCGACGCTTTCGGAATACTGGCGCAAGCGCGTTATCGTGCAAAGTGAGGCTTAATTCTCCCTGGAAGTTGGATCAAATGCCCGAAGGTATTAAGGTAAGCTCTTATAATTATCACGGTCAAGAACGGATCGCCGGTTAGCCTCATTCGGCTACAACGAAGTACCTCAGAAATTGGAGAAAAATTGTAACGGAAACGTGAACAGCAATACGCACACAAACGCGGATGTAAAAAAAAATTCCGCTGGTCCCTCTCAGCACATTTTTCCGTAGTGCTCGCCGAAGTACCAGGAACAAGTGGATTCAGCCACAGACTCTCCCTGACTTCAGTTTGGGACACCATACAAATCCCCACCCTCTGTACACGACGCCTCCAATGCCTTAATCTGCACATCCTGCTCAAGTAAGAAAAAGGCTAACGGAGGAACTCCCGTATCACATGTAAAAATCTCCAGACAAACTTCGAACTTGGTGTCAGGAAACAGCAGCCAAGGCGGCTTGATCAATACCGACCCATTGATTTTTCTCGTTCAACATTGATGCTTGGCTACCAAATCACACCAGTGCTACAAATTTAATTCAATGGTGCCTTCTGCGCTAATTCAGACACTTTGAAATGGAACGAAAAGCTTAAGCGCATCAATAACAACTTTCCACAACTCCCAATCCTCTTACTTGAGCATCAGGGATTTCCTCTTGTTGAAAGATCATTCAGAAACTCTTATACGTTGAACTTCACTCGATGCAACCGCGAAAATTAATCGTATCCCATAAAAAACCACCGATTTTACATTTGAGACAGTCATGACCAGACGCTCTTTCCAGAAAGAGTCAATAACTTAATTATCGGAAATTCGAACTGCGGATAAAGACTGGCATTTATTTTTTGGTCGATTGAGGCTTCCTGATAATATTTGTCAAATTATCTGAAATAAAATCAAGTGTAATGCACAGCGAAATAATTTTCCGATTCCACGTGGAACATTCCTCTTGATCTTCGACTTCGCCAAGGAATTTAGCAAAGTTCATGTCCGATGCAATGCTGATATCATGGGAATTTCTTCGAAAACATTCCTCTAGAGCGTAAAATAAGCAGTTGTTCGGTTCATGAGATCACTGATTGGTCAACAGAAGCATTAATGTCGGTTAAACTTCTTCGCGAAACAGAATATATCCTTAGGGAAACGTGTTTCACCGTTGCACCGGGCAGTTCGGGAAGCCAAGCACGAACGAATTTTTCTTCCTTGTTTATCTTGCATTGAACCTTGTCCTGATTTTGTTTAAAGAAGCAGACTATGAGATCTGGAAAGTGGGGATCAAAAAATGAAGCCCTCTAACATGGCATCGCATTGCCTATTGTCCTCAGCATAGTGCCACGCACACACCCATTTACGGTGTGATTCGAAACCTCTCCACAAAAAAAAAACCAACCAAAAATCCATAACATTAACGAATATCACGACGATTGCTCGAGTTGCCAGCGCGTGGCGCAAGGCGTAGAAAAAGGATGGGCGGGCGGAGAGAAAGGTGGCGAGTACCATAATCTTCGCGCGGAGGCAACCGGAAGGAAGGAAGGAAGGAAGGGCCACATCGATCGCAGGGATGTCCAGGCGGGAGATTCACCGTAAGAACCATCTACGGGAAGAAGCGCGTGAAAAGCGAGGTGGGGCAGAAGTTTGTGGGTTCTCGACCATCGCGAGGAAGCTCTCACGGGTGCACGCTGCCGTACATGGAGGCCTGGTAGTAACCAGACGGGTCCCCGGCGGACGAGGCGGCGATTGCTGACGAGGCGAAGCCGTAGGGCGTGTACTGCGCCATTTCGTACGGCTTGAGGTCGCCTTTGCCCTCCGGGGAGATCAGGCTGGTGATGGAGAAGTCCGTTTTGTAGTCCTTGTAGTCTTTGTAATCCTTGTATTCTGACTTGAGGAGGTGGTGAGACGCGGGGTGGGACATGAGCCCGGCGGCGCTGTAGTGCGAGGCGGACGTGGAGTAGTGCAGCGGGAGATCCGTGCTCACCGGGGTGGAGGCGGGGTTGAAGCCGTGGTGCGCTGAAGACATGGACGGCGGGGGGCAGGCCAAGCCTGTCGGCGTGTCGGACTCGATCTTCGTCACGGGTCCATCCATGAGGTTCGTGACGCCGTTATCTGACGAACCGGAAGTGGCGGTGCCGGAGCTGGATAAGTGCCCCTGATCGCTGACCGAGCTGCCGGATCCGGCGCCGCTGTGCGCCGTGCCGGAGTTGGATTTGGACGACTTGGAGGACTTTTCAGGCTTGCCGGAGCCGACGTGGTCGCCGTTGGAGCCCGGGTGACCAGGCGTGGTCTTGGTCGCCTGTCGGTGCGCCTCCTTTTTCTCGCACTTGAACCGCTTTTGCCGTCTGAGGAAGCAGCCGTTTTCGAACATGTTGCCCGAGTCCGGGTGCAGCGTCCAGAACGAGCCTTTCCCGGGCTTGTCCGGCGTGCGAGGCACTTTCAAGAAACAATCGTTGAAGCTCAGGGAGTGGCGGATGGAGTTCTGCCACCGTTGTTGGTTCTGTCGGTAGTACGGGAACAGGTCCATGATGAACTGGTAGATCTCGCTCAGTGTCACCATGTTGCTCGACGAGCTCTGTATCGCCATCGTAATCAGCGAGATGTAGGAATACGGCGGCTTCGCGTGACTCAGCGTGCGTCGGTAGGCTTTCTCAGAGCGGGCGCGTTGCAGAGCCGCGGAAGTCGCGTCCGCTGACGTCACAGAGCCCGGCACCAAAGCGTTTGTACACGACACGTCCCTGCCCATCGCCATCGAACCTGGAACAAGCAATCAAGTCCGAGAACATCAATCACCCGCTCCGTTTCTCTTTGCTTCGCGCACGCAAACAATAACGGTGCTAGCACGCGGAAAATTTCAATACCGCTATCTTGCCCCGCAATCCCTGCCCTGCACCTGGCAATCAGAACGCGAGTGTTCGTCGGGTCCGCGAATAACGCGATGTTGTCATAACGCGGCTGTCACTCGGAAGTCGGGGCAGTAAGTCACGATCCAGATTGTCACACAAAGCGTCCAAACAAGTGCCGAAACGCTGAATTAATCCCGCCTCGCCGCAGGTGTGCTTTGGACACCGGGGCAACTTATCTCGAGATTCGGGAACGGGGCGGGGGAAAAATCTCGGGGGACGAGCGATCCGTGATTAGATAATACAGGTGGCGGCACGCGAACGCTCCCAAAAAAGTGCCAACTGGTCTTTTCGAGGGCAACCATGAAATCATGATGACCCCCTTATTACCTCGGGGCTCATCGATGACAGGACATGGGTAGGGGGAAAAGGTGGGCATGTCAGCGAGGATAATTCCGGCTCTATCGACTTCCGCACGTGTGGAAGCCGCGACGATGAATTTCCAGGTGGCCACGGTGAGTTGATGACTTACGCGCCAATGCAAATCGGCCCGGGTTAAAAATCCACCCCCGCATGGTCAGCCACCTGTTACGTCATCGTTCTTATGTTGCATATTGTTCAATCCTATTCCGTTTTCATGGACTGTTTTATTTCCGCGATTACACTCACGCACTCCGTCAAACGTTGGAAGTCCCTCACTTCAAAATCAACTATCCGTCATGAAACGCGCCCGAGGAATCAAAGCGTTTCACAAGAACCGTTCTGTCAAAAGTTGGAAAGCTAAAAAAAAACTGGGTTGAATACGTCCGTTGTCTTAAAGGGGGGGGGGGGCAATATTTTCCCTCAATTTTCAAGCATTTCCCAAGACTAATGAAATGCAATTTTTATAGCGCAAATATTTATTCAACTTCCGGTATTTGTTTTCATTTTTCCGCACAAAGGCTGAAAGAGGGAGACTTGAAATCACACCATTTCTGTTCAAAGAAATAAGTTCAACTGGCTACACGCCTATTTTATGAACTTGAATCTATCGAAGTATCATCGCAATTTTAATTTATTTTTTAATTGTGTCCCAAACTTGAATATCATGTTCGAATCACGATAAAAATGCTCCGATTTAAAAAATCTGTGTTATAGCAATGCTGAATGAGAAGGTCTTTTGAAAATAAATAATGCTCTCAACATGTTAAATGTTACTTAGCATAAGAAGCTGCCGGAGTCAGGACTGAAATCGGAGAAAATGTTCAAGAAAATGCCAGATGTCTGCTTTATGTTCATGGTACGTTTGTCAATGACTTGAAGAATTCTAACTCGGAAACTTTGGTATCCAAAAAAGGAAGCTTCAATAAACTATAAGAGAAGGTCTCGCGTACTGATAAATTTTTTTCTCCCATACATTTACAGAAAATTCCTTCGATTTAGCTGTTGAAGAGCCAAATATTTCCCAGTTCGCTGCTGCATTTTGATGGGAATATATATATAACATAGAGTATACTGACAATTCGAGGCAGAAAATTTTCCTTTTAATGTCACGTTTGTATCCTTGTGTCACAGCTGGGGTCCAGTCATGAACCAAGAGAGCTTTGTGGATTTTTAAATCTACATTAAAAACAAAAAATTCATTGGGAAAAGTACAGGTATGCGAACAGTTACGGTCAGAATGTAAAACAGAGTAGTGCTCCTCGGCTTGAAAAAAAAGCGAATTTTTTCGAGGCATGCTTGAAAGTTTTTCGTTTTGATGTTCGAGTAAATCGGAGCCGAGAAACACTTTTATAATTTTCATGCTTGCAATTTAGTGTTCACGAAACTTGCTCGATGTAAGTTACACTTGTGTCAGGAAAATGGATACGTGCATTGGAGGAAAAACTACCAAGATATCCAAGATTCGTGGATAATGATACTGATCGCGGATTGTGTTGAGAGAGTCTGAATAGTTGTGCAGAAACCAAAGGTATTTCCTGAACCCCATTTTGTGTTACAGATGGAAGAAAGCCCAAGTTTTTCCCGCATGCGGCAAGAAAGCCGCCCTCAGAACGGATGGACTGCCGGAAGAAGTTCATCGCACCCCGCCTCTGGGTAATTGCCGAAAGGCGGGGAGGCGGGTTCTTGCGGCTGGTTGCAGTCGCTGGTTGAAATAGTCATGAAGGATGCTGGGGAGGGATCGTTAATTTATTCATAATCACACGCCGTGCGTCATCACGCGAGGAGAACTGATTGTCGAGACCCTGGGAAGCATTTGAAAAATAGATTCCACTCCGAACATCGGTCATGACGCTGATCACGCTGCTTTCTCCGTCGATCGTGGAATATTCCGTGTCAGCTTCCTCCCGCACAAGACGTAGCGGAAGTGCGGAAAGTACTGACCTATTTATGAGGGAGTCCTTGCATTCTGCATGAAGTTTTGCGGAAACGCAAACAGCTACGCGTGTTGAGGCATTAATCGTGCCGGAAAGATTCGCGTCGTTGATCGACACCCGCGATTTTGGGAAAAAGAGGCCCGCTTTCAATCATTTTCCAAATTTTGTTATTCTCTCTGCACTGTTCCCTCCGGTTTGCTCGAAAATTTGATTTTCCCACGCTTCGCAGGATCTTCACCGCTGATCGATCGAATTTCGAATGCAGTTATCTGCGACGAGGAAATCAAGAGGACCGCAACAGATTCATCATCCGGGTCGGCTTTAATTCATCGGCTGGAATACTGGATCAATCAGCGCAGTCGGGTCCCACGGGTAGGCGTTGCTTCTTGATTTTTTGATGCACCACCGGGAAATAACCAGGACATTGCTTCAATCTCTCCCGACGCTGTTTCCGCATGATAGCGAACGCCGTGAGGAGCGTTCCGGTTTTTACCCCCACGGATATACATTTTTTTCGTCCTGTGACACGTGCAAAAACTGCTCCGGTGCTTCGCATATTAGGCCGTGGATGTCAGGGGATCCCGTCCCGCAACAAGAGCACCACAGTTGGTGCATGCGGTCGCATTGAATAATTGATATCGCAGACATTAACCCCCCCCCCATCCCCCTACACTGGAACAATAAGGTTCGTGACTGGCCAAGCGGGAAATAAAAAGACCGAATACAAAAGAGCCTGTGTGCGTCTTCTACCGCGCGTCTTCGAACATAAGACCTCGTCATTGAATAAGCCGAAGTTTCTCAACCTTTTCGACTCGACGCGCCCGTTTTCCTGTAAATGTATAAGCAAGATACCTCTGAGATATATATTTAAAAGACAGAGTCTTTCAGGCCCATTATTTATCTTGAAAATGATTTTTGTTGAGCTCAAAAGAAAATCGAGGACCTCTATTCAAATTTTCTTGGACACATACAATATGCCTAGTCTTTCAGGGTCTTACTTGCTGATGTAAAATTTCAAACATCTTTCATTTCCTCAACTTGCTGAGAGCATCAGCGGAGAAAGTATGAAATACAGTTGGCGGGGACCTCTTGGAACCTGCGAAACTCAGGTCGACAACCTAGCTGTGAAATAATACGCCATTATCCCTATCTTCTCAGATAGCCGTGATTATATGCTGTTACCAGGAAATAAGCCTCACTCAAAAATGTATTTTCGTTTATCCAGGCCATCAGCTAATCTTCATGTATTTCCCAATGCTATTAAACTGGGTTTCAAAATGCTTCTCTCCTTTAATTTTACGCGAATAATTTTGCCACTGATAGGTTTCAATTCAAAACTGCTGTTATTTCAGCCCTGGAAATGCCTCAAAGCAATCCACAACACTTCGAAATGTTCAACGTACTGTACCCTACAAGTTCGAATAACGAACTTTGCTATAGTTTTTATCTAAAAATATAAATTTAAAAAATGATATCGTGATTCTATCATCAGCTTTTCTAAATCAAAGAGCTTTGTAAAAATCATCATTAATATACCTATAGCGGAGACCTTTTTGAAGTTCGATTTCCGACGAAACCTAAGGGTGAATATTTCAATAAAATATGTCTTTGCAGTCTTTATTGTGAGATCGTGACGATCATTTTTGTGAACCTCTTTATACTCCTTATTCTTAAATTCATATTGGATTCAAGTTCAGTATAGTTCATTTTATCTATTCCTTATATAATTTCACTGGAGTAAGTTATAATTGCACTGGAGTGGCCGTGGAGTCCCTGAAAAGTGTACGCGGAGCCGTGTATGGGATCACACGTACGAAAACCTCAAATTTTCGGGGAATCAGAGAAACGTTACTGGAAACATATTTCCTAACACTCGGCGTTTTGAACGCGGTTTGCCTCAATCGATTCCGGAAGTCTAGACTGAGTTTGAAGCAGTTGCGTTCAGTTTCCGGGGGAAATGCGGGTTAGGTCAGGTGGCATGATGACGAAAGGCGCGGAGTGACGAGTGTCCCGGCGCGGGAAGGGTCACATTTTCGAAAGACAGATTTTACTCGCGTTTCGCGTCACATGAGGCCTGGAGAGCAAACACTTCCCATCCCTACAACTAATCGATGGAAAGGTTTTCCTCCCGCCAACTATTCGGAACCCTCCGTGCAAATACTGAGATATGTCGCGATGTCGACGGCGAGTGGTGAAAGGATTCATTGTGTGCGCCCTAGCCCGCATTTCGGCGGCGATAATTTTCCACAGTCGTCTTTTCACGGACAGTTGCCGGATTCTCCCCACATGTTTTTTTTTATAGAGACAGAAAGAGAGAGAGAGAGTCTCGTCACTGATGTCCAGAGCAAAAGAATGCGACGATTCACGCGAAAAGTGAGCCAACCCAGTTTATTTTCAAGCAGATAATAAACGTGTGAAATATAACGCCATTCATTCATTGCTGCATTCGGCATGCAATTCAGTTTGAACCTCGATTATACGCGTCCTTTTAAAAGAAAACTAAAAGAGAACATGTTACGAACTTGGATCCTTGCAGTGTGTGCAACAATTGG